ACACACACACACACAGCCTCTTCCCAATATGCGTTTTTGCAATTTACATATATGCAAAACGCATAATAAAACTAAAGTACGCACGAGGCTTGCAGACGACAATATGGAAAATATTTTGAGACTCTGTGTCAGTGATATAAATCCAGATTTCAGTAATCTTGTGTGAAAAGTTCAAGCTCAGAGCTCACAGTAACCTATTGTTTATTTTTTTTTACTGAATGAGCAATGTGATAAAAACCTATCTGTTTTTATGCGTTTTTGCATCTTATGCAAATGCAAAACGCATAATTTCGAGAGAATATGTGTGCGACGCCCTTTTCCCCCGCATGCAAGAAAAGGTCAAAACAGAGGCGCACAGGCTGCATGCGTTAAACTGTAAAGCAATATTCATACTGTTAACGATCTGACTGCGTCAAGTTTTGCGCAAAAACGCATGATCGCACGGGTGATCCCCGTGCGTTGCTATCTGGATTTTTCCAAAAGGTGGCCCGTGAGCTCAAGTAAGTATGTTTAATCAGTCCCACGTGTTGCCAAAGGTTACACATGCCTGTGTTGAGGGTCTGGCTGTCTTGTAAAACGGGTCGATCCCTCGTCTTTCAGTAGAACAACAACGCCACTTGCTGCTGGGCCATGCCTGCCAGCGGTTGGAATTGTTGAATTTTGAATTTTGCTTAGTTTGTAGTTGCTGGAATTCTGCATCTAGCGCGACGTGATTTTAAGAAAACAGAGATAGAATATGCTTCAGTCCTGAATAAAAAAGGAATTATCAGTTATTTTAGTTATAACTGGCGTTAATGAGGTGCTACGACGTTTGAGCGCCCGGTTCGTGTAGTGAATAATTTTGATGCTTCATAAATCCAGCAAATCTCGCTTTTTATTTCAGAAACAGAGAAACCAACAACCAAAAAAGCACTAAAATTTAGCGATAGTAAGGCTTATTATGGAGTGGATAAACGTGAACTGATGGATGCAAGTGCAGCGGCAGCTCCGCCACAGGAATACCTAGACGCGATTGGGTCTACGCAGTACAGACGGAATGTTTTCATCTCATTTTGGTGCAGTTTTGCTGCACTTTGCATATATTTTTGGTTCTCAAGGTTTGTTCAACTGTCAGTATTTCTTATTTTCTAGTCTGAGAGATTGCTGTGAAGAGAGCAGCAATACAAAGAAGGTTTTCTCTAACGCGGTTCCCTCTTTTGCCTTGAAAATTTTTCTTTTTTTTTTGTAGTGGCAATTCAAGGGCAGTGATGGGTAGATGCTGCCTCCCTGGCCGGGTGCCAAAAGTCCTCCATGTGAAAGTAGGACAAAACGAAAGTAGATGACACCCCTCCTCCTGAGCTCAGAGCTGTCAAAAGTCTTCTTTGGTAGGAGGCAGTGCAAACCATCTTGGTAGGTATATGCTGTTTTCTATTTTTCCCGACAGACGCCAAAAGGCAGCAGTCTGAAGTGTCATAATTACCCCCATCTTCTCTTTTTGGCTCTAAAATTCTTTACATTCAGATGCAACTTATGGAAAGTGTTCCATAGATAGTGTTTTTTCCGATTTATTGGCGTCGAAATCTTCCTTTTAGAAAATAGAGTGGAAAGTGGGGCCGGTGAATCACAAACTTTGAAGGCTGCGGTAGACAAAAGGATATTAAGTGGCGAAGCAGTTGGAAATGTAAAAATGTATAGTTTTTCGGCAACATGCTAGAAATATCATATTTAAGCTAACGGATCGAAAAAATAAAAAAAAAGCGGTCCTGACAAGAGGAGTACGATACTTTACAGGATGAGTACGATACATTACTCGACTGCTTTACAGAATGATAGGGCGGGAGGTGCTTGCGAGGACTGAAAATAGGAAATTAGTTGGCTTAAAAATAACATATTTGAGTGACGAGGTGTATTGGAAGTGCATAACATAAATTAACTTGTCCGCGGGTTTCTCACTCCAAAAAAACAACTAAAACTTTTCCACAATTCACATTCTGCAATAGGCATGGAATATGAGGGTAATTCGAGCAATAGTACCTGTGAACACAAAAATTCACCGTCATCTGTCTTTGGCTTTCTCTTCCAAGAATTGCTTAGAAAACTTCACTGGCGAATTCGTGATGTATCGCAGTACTAGTTTTTCATTGAGGCGAATTGATAGGCCGATTGTAGCAAACAAATTGACTCTGGAAGCGTGAATGGCGAAGACACGATAGATTACAGCATGAAAGAACAGTATGGCAGAAGAAGATAAAAGTGAGATAAGATCTTTCAGTCCATTAAGTCATATACGCCTTAACTCATCACTGCGACAGGGTCTCGTCAGTATGACGGTCGCACTGCTTAATGAAAAGGAAAAGAAAAAGACGACATAAACAAGCAGAAGGGAAACGAAATGATAGTGGGATTAGGCGGAGTAAGAATAGGGTGAAGAGGAAAAGGTAAAGGAGGGAAGAAGAGAAAAATTTAAGAGAAGAAAGTTTTAAAAAAGATTTTAAAAAACTTTTGAGTCGTGGTAGAATTGACCTAGCCACTAGGCAGATCGAACTCTCGACTCCTGGCATGGTTGTAGTGCTGCTTATCGCTTCGTCATATTCATTAACAGTCTTCTCATTGTCTAACATTGCTTCCTGCATTGAGATGCGGAGGGAAATTAGAAATGTGAGGACGCCTTTCATAAATCTTTTTTTTTGTTTTCAGAAGGGATTACAATGGATTTTTGAATGCTCCAAAATACGAGGTTGTACCA